GGATCGATCGTATCGCTTTAGGTTTGCGGTTTTACTCGATTGAACTACATTAAGCGGCGTGTGTCAACAACACTATATATATATACGGTTACCGTGAATAAAGATCCCACCTTGAAGTCTTTTCTCATTCCTCTTATCCTATCCTATACTTTCCAACCCATTCCTATTTTCTCTATCCTATCGCATCAACTTGACGTTTATGCTAAAATATTCCTCTGACTCTTTCTATTATTCAACAAGGGATCGTTTTGTAATCTACAACGATCATATCCCTTTTCCATCGTTTATCTTTTTTGTTTATGAATTATTTTATCTAATGCTTTATTTATACATCTTTCGCATTTTTCGATTTATCTTTTGTTTTTTTTTTCTTTTTTTTGAAGAATAATCCCGTTGACATGTATGATAATAAATCTTATCTTTTTTTTTTTTTTCAAAAGGCATACTATTAAAATAGTCAGCGATAGCCAGTGTATGTGTATATATTCAATATTGACATCGCAGTCACGTTAATTTTTCTGTCGTTAACGTCTTCCGTTCTACTGTTACGGACATGTTGTATTTAAAGGCGTCTGACGCATGAAACTTTTGAAGCTGTATTAAATAGCATCGTAGAATTGAATCCACTTAAGTCTCTATCCGTATAATATTCTCCAATGTGGATTATTCCGTTTTAAATAGTTGGAATCTCTCCTGTTTGTAAGGCAATACCTCCGGACTGAATAAATTAGTTGGAGGAAATAAAATAAACGTATACGCAATTGCCGCGTTTTATATAACACGTATATTTATCGTTAAACAACGCATTAAGCTTGTCAAAATTATTACTATTTAATTACGATTCGATAAATATATAAAAAAAAAAAAAAAAGAAAAATTATAATTCATCTTCGTATAATGCCAATTTCTTTCGCATAAAATATCGGAACGACGACCAAGACAACGCGAATTAAAAGGATAATATTTATGATCGATGATAGAAAAAAGTATTATAGCTATGGTCATTATATTTGGACGAATCTTGGATGTCATTTAAAGAATCGAGCACTACCAGTTGAAAATTGCAGAGGCCTTGTTCGGGTCTGCCCTATCATTAGGTAGTTTGCAAATTTAAACTATGGTTTCCTACTGCTGCGCGAACCCGTGCGCAGAGCCCGTTTAGTCCTCTTATGTAATAACCGTTCACGTGATCGCTCTGATTGGATGCAAAGTTCTCGATCGGGAAAAACGTCGACAACGAACGATCAAACTATTTTTCTCTATCGTTAAAACTTAACTTTCATTATTTTCTTTCAATAAAATAAGAAATTTTACGAATGGGAATGAGTTAACTTGCCAACCAACAAACCAGTAGTCAGTTTCCTATAGAACGTCATATAGCTGAAAGGATACGACGAGGAAACAATAAAAAAAAAAAAAAAAGGACGATTATTTTCACGTAACGCAAACAAAAAATCAAACTAGAAAAGAAATGAAAAAGAGATAGGATTCTCTACGTTTGCTCGTAAGGTCTAACGAGAAGTCGATCGAAATGGCTCGTTATTGTACCTCGTTAAATTCACTTCCAGGTTTTCGTTATGGCAAAACCACGAGAGAAGAGTGGAACGGTACGCTTCTATTAGAGGAAATAATTGATAAAGAGAGAAAAGTCATTTCGATGTTCTCTTCTTTTCTCTCTCTCTCTCTCTCTCTCTCTCTCTCTCTTTCTATCCCTCATTTCCACTTTCCGAACGTCTATTATATTCATTAGACGCAATTGATATTTTTTTTTAATTAATCAATATCTATTCAGATTATTTCGAATTAGATTAATATCAAATAGACAAATGGAGAACACGTGTAAGTAATTAAAACAAACTAACATTTGGTTAACATTGTTAGAAGTACCTAATATGGCTGAGCACCATTGTCGGATATTGTAGAATAACTCGGAGATATCTTAATTGACCTTAGGGAATATGCAAGTACATGATGCACGCGTAATACATGTATACATTTATGCGAAAAACGTATAAAACATATCGTATCTTATATACATAAATACTTTTGAAAATTGTATTATATTATTCGCAATATGTTTTGCAAGTTCTAAAGTTTATCGTATTTATTTTCTTGAAGTATAAAGAAGTTTGATTATTTCTTGGTAGAATTGAATCGAGTTTGATTCATAAAATATATACTAACTTACCAAAGTATCATATCCGACAAGGGGAAGTATCGAAGATGTTACAATAAGTGTGTATTTACACACAACTCTTTAGTACTTGAACGAGGAACACGTACACCAATTCAACAACGTGTCCTCACTGACACACTAGCCTCTGGCTTAATCAGATGATTATTCTGAGATCATTCTTACAGCTGATACTAGGCCAACCGCGACACCGTTTCAACAACGCCGTCATGTCAAATATTATAGATAGATAAAACGCGATTTTCTTCTCTTCTTATTATTATTATTCTTCTTCTTTTATTATTTAGCGCCTTTTTCTATCTTATATTTTCTCTCAATAGTATAATGTATACCTACTATTATATCCGATTAAATGTCTTTTCCACATTTTAATCGGATTACCCTTATAATCCGATAATAGAATAGTCTAACAGGACACGCGCGACACGCAAAGATACTGCAGATGATTCTTCTCATACAAATATCTTACTCATATTAAAGATATATATATATATATATTTTTATTCACTGTATTTTATTAAAAAAAAAAAGAAAAAAAATAAGTTAGCGTAGTCGAGAGTAATCTTAGAAAAATGTTAAAAAGTAAAGGTAATAGGAAACATTTCGGTGGTTTACCACCGCATAGGATGAATTTTAGCAGAAAAAGAGAGTCTAGCGAGCACGCGTGTTGAGTCTATAAAATTAATGATCGTGGTTCTAGTTATGTCAGCATCCTCTGTCAGACAATAGACGACCCCGCGTATTGTTCGAGTACGTACACGTGTATGTAGTCGAGTGTACGCTGGCTACTGTTTCATGATGATCCTTGCGCTAATCGATGTAATGACATATGTGTGTATATAACGACATACGAATAAATTTATCTACGAATTTATACCTGTGAATCTTTCTTTGTCTTCGTGCGTGCATTTACATACACATACATGAATAGTATATAAGCTTGATAGTCGTTAAAACGAAAACTATCTTCTCTTTGGTTTCTCTCGAGAACATTATTGTAACAGATACAAAAGCGTTAGGATCGTAAATTGAACTTATGGTTCCTTTCACTTTAATCCACGTTTTAATAATGAAAGGAACATGAGTAAAATTTAGCGTTCGTCATATCCCTTTAAAAGACCTTCGAGAATAGAAGATGCATTCCTTAAAATAATCTGCTTTCCGTTGTACACATATACTATCAGGATATACCGTAATCTATGTAGATATATCTATCTCTAAGTGGGCGTATGAATTCTCATTCGGTAAAGTGCATTATAAAAAATTCATCAACTTTTTTCTTTCTATTCAATGTCGATAAGATTTATATAACATTTGGACAAATTTATGGCTTATAATGGGGCAAAGTAAAATACGATATTAAAGTGACGATGGGGGGTGGTTTTTTTTTTCTTCTTCTTCTTTTTTCGTTTTTATTTTATTGCATCGAAGTTATGATGCGCTAGGCTTAATGAGAGAATAAAAATAAGAGGCGAGCGCTTCTCATAGGGTAGAAAAACGAAAGTAAAGATGACACGGTACGAAAAAAAAAAAAAAGAAAAAAGAAGAAACATATTTGTGAAGGCTTTGAAGCTGATAAATTGTGAGAAATTCCCGGAAGGGTCGTAGTCACAGCATCCAGGAAAGCGTGCTCGTTAGAGAAGGCTCATAAATTTCAAGTAAGGTAGGGTATCGTTCTACTGTTAAGCCGTAATCTTTTCAGGCTTTTAGGTCAGTTTATACGACGATATGAAAACGAGCGTGTGTGTTCGCATTCGAATACGATTAGAATTATTTTCCTTCTATTCTTCACCTGTTATTTTTTTCTTTTCTTTCTTTTTCTCCACGTTTTGTATCATTTTCTTTATGGATTCTCTTCAACGTACGTGGTTACTTATTAAAATAGAGTGAAAAAGAAGAGAGAGAGAGAGAAAAAATGTTAATTAATATGCATATGAATATGTATGAACAAAAATATATATTTTATTATTATTTCGCGAAGGAAAACAAGGTGTCGGGGGCACGTGTAGAGCACCAGCACTGTTGTACGCATCAACTCACGCACTCTTCATTTCACGAGTGTCGGCTTCAGCGAGTTGACGGAGCTCTTAAAGTTTCGAGTACTCCCCAAGTGCACGAAAGCCTTCAACGAACTCTCGCCTTAACCCCTCCCGATGTGTTTCATAAAGGCACCACCCTCCTCCTCCTCCCACTCCTCCTTCTACTACTACTATTACTACCCTATCTCTTTCTGGATTTTAAATGTAATTATTAAATCATTACCTATATAAATACATATATACAGGGCCTTTAATATTAAAATTGTAATAAATAGGCAAATAGTTGTTCACTTACTCTCCGTAGGTTTCGGATGACACATTATAACCGAAAAACATTGTTCATTTGTGAATATTACATGCGAGTAGCAGCAATGTATGGTATATGTGTATCGAAATTCTAACAAGCACGAGTACATACATATACCTACTCATATCGATGCCGATGTAGCAACGTTATTAGTTGGAAAAGTGGGCCAATGCTGTCGGTAGAACCAGAATCGAACTGATTAAAGCTGAACTTTCAGAAATTGGCTTTTATCACTAGAGAAGGAGAAGAGAGGAAGTAAGACCGAAAGATATTCTTTTCTTTTTTACTCAACACGATTCGCGGCCTTCTTTCTATATAACTTTCTTCTTCATCTTCTTCTTCTTCTTCTTCTTCTCTTCCAGACTTAATCCAAAAAACTTGGCTAGCTCGTTGAAGATAAGCGCGAAATGAAAAGGAAATGAAATAACGCTGACACCACGATACTTAATTTTGATTTCAGATTTTACTGGGACCTCTGCATGCTCCTCCTTTTGGTTGCTAATTTGATAATTCTGCCAGTTGCCATTAGTTTTTTCAATGACGACCTAAGCACTAGGTGGATAGCCTTCAACTGCCTTTCCGACACGATATTCCTCATAGATATCGTCGTAAACTTTAGAACTGGTAAGTACCACATATAACATATACATATAATACCAATGAACAATTGGAAAATTTGTCTTTGAACAAATTCGAGAACACTCTCTCCTCATCCTCTTCACAATTTACACGTGGGTGATCTGAATCGTGATCAAAAATGTTATCGATATATCTATCGATAAAGAATCGAGAACGAGAAGTGCAAGAAGAGTGAGAGAGAGGAGTACCTTAAGCGCCACCTGCGGCTCGGGTCATCACCAAAAAGACAGGGGCAAAGGAAGGGAGGGATGGGGGGTGGTGGATGGATGGTTGATCTTAAGTGCAATATACAACGATGTTATTGTCTAGCAAGTCGAGAGAACGTCACTGATTCCAACTCCAGCAAACTACTTGACATTTCGTTATTGCACAGGGATTAATTTGAACCACGTTCGAGTCGGGGTACAAGGGTAGAATTAGGTCACGAGCCTGACACCGATGGAAAACGTTACGTATGAGCACATCAAGCCCGTGTGCACTGTACGCGTCGTTCATACGCCGTTACCATCGTCGTCGTCGTCGTCGTCGTCGATTCGCAATTGTTATAAATTCTTGATCCAGATTATTGTCGGAGAGTCTGCGTTTTCGTATCTCCTTGAGGTTATCATCGTCGGATCACAGGCTTGACGATGACGACGACGACGACGATTCTATTCTACTCTCAAAGGCTAATTAAATTGGTCGTTGGGTACGCGCAATAAAAGGCACCAACACCAACACCAACACCACCACCGTTACGATTTTCAATTCGAGATCGCGATGTCATCGTTTTATTTTTCGCTCGAGTGTTATTTAAAGGGGGTGGGGTTGGGGGCGGGAGAGAGTGAGAGAGAACAAAAAAAGGAAGACGAAGAAAACAGGATGCGAAAAAGAAAGAGAAAACAAAAGTATCGTGAATCGATTTCCTTCTTTATTTTTGTCACGCAGGTATAATGCAGCAAGATAACGCCGAACAAGTGATATTGGATCCCAAGTTAATCGCTAAACACTACCTCAGGACTTGGTTCTTTCTCGACCTCATCTCATCCATACCACTAGATTATATTTTCCTCATTTTTAATCAAGTAAGTATAGCCAAATGTTTTCTTTTTTCTAATTTTCTTTATTCTTTCTTCCTGTTTTTTTTTTACGGGCAATACAAAATTTTATTTCCAAGGAGAAAAGGATAATCGCTATCTATGGGATTTTTTAGTTTCAGGACTTCAGTGAGTCCTTCCAGATCCTGCATGCTGGACGTGCTCTCAGGATTCTCAGGCTTGCAAAACTGTTATCCCTCGTTAGGTTACTACGCTTGTCAAGACTGGTGCGGTATGTCTCGCAATGGGAAGAGGTCTATGTGAGTGTTTAATCGTTTATTATATGGCATCATTTTTTGATCACTTATTTTATTTATTTATATATATATATATATTATGCACATAATATGTCCCTTGTATAAAGTCAACGTCTCGAAATTGTCGCCATTTACAAATTTAGAAAAAATGATTCGATCCAAGGTAAAGTTCGTGCTCCGTTTACGTAATTAACACTTCTAATATAAATGAAAATTAAAAAGAATCGTTATCGCGTTTGTGGAAGTAGAAAAAGGGAGAGTAAAAGAGAGAGAGAGAGAGAGAGAGAGGAGAGAATTAAAATGAAAAGAAGAAAGCAAATGACAGAGAAAGAGATAGTGAGATAGAAACGTGGCAGAATGAACAAGCTACAATGCAACAAATTGTTTGCTAAAATTTAGCTTAGCAAATCAGTAAATTTTACGATCATTATTCAACGCGAGATAATTTTATTCTTTTTAAATGAAATACTTACTTTTCCTACTTCGATTATCGCGTCACGATACATTTAAATTGCAAATTTATCGTTCATAATTTATTGTCTTCGTTTGTACGATCTGTTTTCTTTCGAAAAACGAACTTATACGATTTGGATCGATTCAGATATTTATGAGCGACAAGGTAAGAAGAGTAATTTGCTTGATTATAAGAGATAAATGCAAGGTGAACTCGTTGGTCTCGTGTACATTTCAATTCTCTTTCAACGAATAAGAATTTTTTTTTATTTTTTCAAAACATATTTCTATATATATATCATCTAATAAATAATGTTATATTTCAAAAGTTCAATGGATTCACCTTGCTCGAATAAGGATTACGTTAATGAGATCGATATCGTCAGGTTGGTGAAGGACTATGTCGATTTCTCATACATGTACAAATCTGTTACGTCATAATTTTTTTTTATAATAACATATCTTTCCTTTTAGACAATGCTCTTTAAAAAATTTTAAACTCAATCGAGAAATTAATATCAAACTTACCGTATCCAATTAAAATTTTGCATAAGATTTTACTAATAATTGTCTTTCGTTTAATTTATCAAAATCGAATTGACCATAATCTGCATTTAATTGAAAAACAAAATAAATAACTTCTGTTAATATAAATGAAGATAAATTATGTCGGTAAGTTCGATGTTAAACTTCAACGAACATTGATTTTCCATAGAAAATGAAATTCGATCGAAATATTCTCATAAAATTCTAATATACAATAATAAAATCGTGGCATGTTTTTCTACCAACCTGGTAGATATTTGATCGGCAGACAAAAACGAAAAGAGCATGTTCTGTTTCTATGGAGCTATTATAAACATTGTTCAATTAACAGATAAAGATTCCAAACTCTTTATCGCTAATCGTGGAAAAATACAAACAGTTCGAAAAGTTGTGAACCAGAGTAAAAGAAAAAAGAAAGAAATGAAAAAAAAAGAAAAATGAAAATAAAAAAAGGAACAAAAAACAGTAAAGATTTAAATCTCCAATTCGAACGCAAATGAAACACACGTGCGGTATCGAGGAACAATAGGAAATAGAAAAGAAAAAAAATAAAAAAGAAAAAAAGAAAAAAAAGGACAAGGAAAAAACAGTGATGCAAATCGTTGTGATCGATTTAAAATTACATATAAAATAGTTGGTTTTAAATAGAGAATTATATATATATTTATGGAAGTTTTTAAGTTTTTTTCTTACTGTGTTCTGCCCGTAGAGAAAGAGTGTACCGTGACGTGCAGCGAACAGACCAACGAATCAATCAGGCTTTTCGTCGATTCGGGGACCAGTCTCAGATTTTCTATTTATTCTAAATGTTATTTATTGCGCTTGCATTGATACATATCCTATTGCCTCCCTCTGCTTTTACCTCTCTTTTCTCTTCTGTTCGACACTCAATAATTCACTACGTGATAATAATAAATCCGCGTTTACCTATTATCTCGAATCTCATTAGGTACGAACGTGTTTTACTTTTTTTTTTTTCTTTTTTTTTTTTTTCTTAACCATTGGCTACAATCAATCAAATAAATCGAGATAAAAAACAAGGAGAAATAAAATTATACGATATAACAAAAAAAAAAAAAATGTGTGTGTGTTAGGTTATATTATTACCTTCAATATTATTTAGAATATCGTAAGATAAAATTATCGAAAATATAGAAATATTACTAGAAACCGTTAAACATGATACTATTTCATTCGAAATAAATCTCGAACGTTTTTATTTTTTCGCAAGTGATCGCACAAATCAAAAAGGAAACTCAATTAATTATCGTCATCGATTCGCATATGTACAACACTCTTTGTATACATATTATACATATATATATATATATAAATTATATATATATATATATATTTGATATACCTACTATTTACTTACGCGTTGACAAAAAGAAAATCAGAAAATAGAAATGAAATTTTTGTGAATCGAAAAAAAAGAAAAAATGTGAAGCAAAGAAATGAAAGAAGCTCGAAATATCCTCTTGTCTCTTACACCCACGCACATACACACGTCGAAACCAGATAACGAGAAACAATTATACAAGTCGTCCTAATCCTAGGCGCATTGCGAGAACACGTTTCCGAATGGGTTTGCAGATCCCCCTTTATCAACAGCCGGAGAGGCACTACGAGCGTCGGGCGTCACCGCCCCAACCAGACCGAACCAGCAAGGTGTGCCTGCCTAGTAATCCCGAAACCAAGGCCAAATGCCCTTTCTTGATTAAAGCGTTCGTTAACTTCAAACTTAATGTTTCTACGTATAAATACATATATTTATATATGTATATATATATATATATATAAATATATACATCTATATAGTATATGTATACATACATACACATACATACACATATATATATTTATTTATACACACATTTATGCATATATTATATTTATATACATATTTGAGAGTATAAATTGTATGTATGCATATACGTGTACGTATATACATATATGTATATATGTAATGTATATTTTGCTAGATCGTTATTATTGAAACCTTTGTTATCGTTGATTATTATCGTTTCGTTTCTATTATTATTATTATTATTATTATCGTTAATAATTCAAAGCCCTCTCCACCTGTTACTTTTTTTTTAAACGTTACGATTGCCATTGTTTAAATATTGTCGTGTTTTGGCTTTTCAGTTGGTTTCTATCCCTCGTAGTAGGGGTTACATGCATAATCAATAGTTTTTTGCCGTGTTGTTATTTCGAGTTTCGGTATTAGACGTCTTTATCTACGACACATCCAAATATAAATCACATATTTCTTCTAATCATTTTTAATCGCTGAATTGTGTCAAAGGATACACACATGGTACGCTTGTAAAACAAAAAAGCAAAAAAAAGAATAATAGAATTGGATGTGCGCGTGGTTTAAAGACGATCGAGAATTGTGTAAAAATATACTGTGTCGATGTTTAACACGACTAGAGTTAGTTCCTTTATAAAAATCCCTGAGAACGGTTTTTGATATGACGTTTGATCTGATATCTCCGTTTAAAAAAAATACAGTTACTTTTTGTTTGTTTTCTTTTTTTTTTTTTTTTTATTTGGAAATGTTCATTTTCTTAGGCATTCGTTCGAGTTTGAATTACAATATAATAGTTTAATTACGGGGTAAACCCTGACGAATACCGGCGAATCAAGGTCGACCATTATAAATTGAAACCTTCTTTGTTATAAAGTAATGACGAATTTCGATGACTATTCAACTTCCGGTGATTTATAATTCAATTTCTAATTTTGAACTTTCTTGATTACCACCGTGTTATCTTATATTTCTAGAAAAATTATAATATATAGATAATTATTATTATTTCACGTGGAATTATGCGATTAATAAACGTGTGCGCATGTGCATTTGAAAAAACGAATGGAATTTTATTTATATATATATATATAATAGACAGAATTTTGATCTTTCGTTTATCTGCAAGGGGCATCCACGTGATCTTTTAGATAATAATTACGTGTGCATGTGTTTGTTTCTATACATTGTAATAGATCGTACCATGCTTCGGAAAGACTCGATATTATGATGATATTATGATCTTAACAAAACAGAGAGTAAACAAAAAATAATAGAAATTTGGATGTGTTGTGTATATTCAAAATTTGTTTTAATCATGAATTGAATTAATAACTTTGTATTCTTTCTAATAATATCTAGATTGCATTATACTAATATAATTCTATATTCAAAATTGTATGGTAAATCAAAATGTTATATTTGCAAACAAATCCAAAACTATATTTGCATAGTTGAAATGAAAAAAAAAAGCAACAGGTTCTAGCTAGCCACGAGGGGTTGGTCGATTGTCTAGTTAAAATGCAAAGCATCCAATGAAAACTTTGTGTTCTTTCTAGCTAATTTACTATGTAACACAAACGTTGAATATTAACCGCAACATATGCATCCGTAAATAAAAGAAGATAGAGAGAACGGTGATAATCAGGAATAATCGAGCTACGTGGAAGGAATAAAGAAAAGAAAAGAAAAGAAAAGAAAAGAAAGGAAAATAAAACAAAAGAAAAGAAAAGAAAGAAAAAAAAAAAAGAGAGAAAGAGAGAGAGAGAGAAAAACTAATCGCGATGAGATCGCTTGAATAATTATACCATGGGAGACGCATTTTTATTTTCACGACTGTAATGAATGACGAAAGGAAAAAAAAAAACTATGATAGCAAAAAGATCCAAACAAAAGGAGAAAAACAATGGCTTAGATTCTGGCACCCTCAATCCGTATGGTATTCGACACGGGTTACTCTAAAGAGACAAGAAAGTTGATTGGTCTGTTGACCGTAGGTCTGCCTGTGCTGTGTGTGTGATGTGTGTGTTAGGTGTATATATTAATCCTATTTGCCCGAAATTTTTTGGCAATGTGCCCCATCATGTTCGGTGTGTGTTGTCCCCGTTTCCATTCAATTCCCTCTACTCCTATATCTCTCTATCCTTCGTTTTCCCTTTCTTTTCTCAATATATTTTCCACCTGCCCTTCGTCATCCCTTCTATCTCTTTCTCTTGATATCAAATCACAAAACTTTACCGATCCGACACCGTTCGTTGGAGACATCTGGCTGATTTCCGAGTTATCCTTTCACCCAAAAGTTGCTTGCTGTTTTTCCCCGTGTTTTTTAGATGCCTGAGATAGAGAACAAGAGAAATATATCTTATTATACGTTATCAGTATACTATATATACATACATATAAATATATATCTATATATATATATATATGTATTATGTATATCATATTTTCGTTAGCGCCGTTTTTCTTCCATCAGGACGGAGAAGAAGATAATGCGCACGAATAACAAATGTGTGTGTGTATGTATGTATGTATGTATTTTTGTTGGTTTTTTCTTCTATTTTTTTCCTGTTAGGCTGAAGACGTGCATATATACGTATTATAATTCTTCTTCCTCGTTCTATCCTTACTCTTCGCATTTTTCCCCGTCGACTATTTTTATTACGAAGAAAATGAAGAAACAACACTGTCAGTCGTCGTTCTTTATTCTAAACACCCGAGCCCCAACACAAAACAGAAGAGATATAGATCCTTACCCCGTTGACCCACCACTACCACCACCAACCACCCCCCGCCCTCTCTCTCTTATCTTTGTCGTTTCCCACGTGTTATGTTAAACGTATATATTTCCCCCCCCCCCCCCCCCCCCCCCCCAATTACCCATAATAATCGTTTGAATATTTTTTTTTTTTATACGATAATCGTAGCAAGTTATTTTCTCTACGTGTATTTAGAAAAAGGTTTAGAAAGATCAATGAATATTTTAGAAAGTGTTAATTATTATTTCACATAGATCGTCGATTCGATTATTATTATTATTATTATTATTGTATTATTAATAATAGTATTTAGGTACTCTTTAACTGTTTATGCAACTCTTTATTTTGATCGAAATTCGCATGAGTTATATTTTACAGTGAAAAAGAAGCGCGCGCTCGCTCGCTCGCTCGCGATAATAAAAACGACGAACGAGCATTATCAACTATTATGGTTTACAAGTGCAATTTGTTGCTTGCTCATCGAACCGTGTGTTGAAACAAGCGCATTAACTCTACGACTCGCGCTTAACATTAAAAGGCGATAACTCACGGAACCATGCGAACAAAAAAAAATATGACAGATCATAGAGACGATGATTGATATCGCAATTGGTTCCTTTTTTTTTGTTTTTTTTTTTTTTTTTTTTTTGAAAAAATATAACCATAAAACTTTCAACACACACGTTTTAATCGATGTGTGTGCGTCTAATACGCTTTCTCTTTTTTTTTTTTTTTCTCTTTTTCTAATGCAGAGAAAAAAGAGAGAGAGAGAGAGAGAGAGAGAGAAAAAGAGAGAGAGAGAAAAAAAGGAAGAGAGTAAACAAATTAATAAATTGCGTATGTACAAACACATTGCACGTTGTCTCATATTCATCACTTACGTATACACATATAAATACATGTATATATATATTTATGTATATATATATATATATATGGGTGTGTGTGTGTATGGGTATGTGTATGTGCGTGCATTCATTTAATATTTGAATTAAACGAGATATATCCGCGCACACAGTTGCGCGCGACGACGTTTTTAAATAAATTAAATCACAGCCAAGAGATATATATCTACGTAGAAAAATACAATACGTTTTTTTATATCTCGACGAATCTAATAAACAAGATTCGCAACAACGTACTACGTACTTACATGTAAAATTGACTTGCGAAAGTCAATAAAATAATTTCAGACAGTAAGTTTAATATAAAGAAGAAAAAAAAAAAAAAAAAATATCTACATACAATTACATATCTTTTATATTTTTGATTTGATTATTATTTTTAGTTGACCTCGTATTACGTCACCAACGCACCCATGTCGTCGTCGTCGGAAAAGGGCGAGTGGACCTCCTTCGTTTGAATTTTCATATATTTATTTTTGTCATACGTCATTTTTAATAGTCATTCGAATTATCGGGACAGAAATTTTTCTTTTAATTGTAAACCAAAATTAAATTAAATTTAAATTAAATTAAAAAGAAAAAATAAAAGAGAAGACACGGAAGTAGAGAAAAGTCGAGCGAGGAACAACCGGCCGACCACCTTTCCAAGGAATCTTATAAATTCGATGGTCAGCCGCGAATATTTATTGTATTTGTTTTGCTAATTATTCTTATATATTATACTAACTCTAATTACTCTCATCGAAGCATATAATTATCCAGGCTTGACTAAGAAAATCGTGGCTTTAACGCTTGCGCGCGTCTGCTGTTAAATGAAAAGCTTACTTTTTTACTAACGAATGAATGGCTTTATTGGTTTCTTGATTATTATTATTATTATATATTATTATACTAACGCTCAAATCATTAATTTATCTCTCTCTCTCTCTCTCTCTCTCTCTCTCTCTCTTTTTCTCACTTACGGTCAACTCGTATACACGCCCATCCATTCTTATCCACTCGCCGGAAAATTATCGTATTGGTTTTTTTTTTTTTTTTTTTTTTTTTTTTTTTTTTTTTTTTTTTCTTTAATGCATACAAAAAGGTATCTTGCAACTACTGGTACAAGCGAACACGAGATTATTCAATATAAAAAAGATAAGTTTAAAAATTTGTCGATTACTTGTACACTTTACTAAGCTTCTAATTCTGAAAATAAAAAGCTTTATCGAATATAAGCATAAAAATAGAACCGATACTGACAATTTTTGTAATCATATTAAGAAGCATAAAAATATTAAAATCCATCGAACTGAAACTAAATCAAGCGTGGACGCACGTGTTTGATAAATTGTCAAGCTTATTTTTCACCAAAATAAAATCTCATAAGAATACATTTTTATTATAGAATTATAATAGAATTAATTATAAGAAGTAATTATAAAATTATTCCTTGTTTCTCTTGTACCATCAGTTACGGGATACCCTATATATTTACTTTGAAATATTTTTATGTTCGTTTTTGCTCTATGATCTATCATCATATCCGTCATCCTTCGTGGCACACATATTTTTATATATATATATATATATATATATATTATAAATATATGCCATAGAGAGTGGGATCGGCGGTTATGTTGATCGATCGAATAATAATTTTGATAGAAAGCGAACAGAGAAAAAAAGAGATTCCAATTATTCTATAGAGAGACGAGAAGAAACTAGTGAAAACAATCTTAACGGCGAGAAGTAAATCATCGAATAATTCCCCCCCCCCACATTTTTCTCAAATTTGAATAAATTCATAAATCTAATTAATTAATTAAAACCACCTACCTACAAACCTACCTACTATTTTTCTATGGGGTTTATTTCTTTGAAGGCTGCACCAGCATATCTATCGGTATCAGAATTCTATGGAAGCTTTATATTAATTTTCCCTTTTATCGATCGTATCGTACTCATGGAATAAGACGTACCGAGCAAGATAATTAACTTTTATTGGTTTTAACAACGTTTAAATATTTATCGGGTGTAATTCCAGCGCTTTTGCCTAACGACGTGGATTAAAAATAAATAAAATAAAATATTAGTAACGAAAGGAATAATTTCTCGGAAAAAGAAAAAGAATAATTAAATTCTAAGTTGTTTTTATTATTTTCGGTTTCCGATTCATTATTAATACGAGTAACAGTCTATTCTGATCTTATATATTTAATATATAAATACAGGCTGAGATCAAAGTCGCTTTGTTCAAAATAATAACAAACAAAACTACTTTTTGCATTTTTATTCGTTCATTTTTATGCATTTGTTCACATAAATAGACAGAATCAGTGTCCATCTAAGTTCTGGGGTAATTATTCTATCAATTCTGTTTTAACTAATCCAAATCTTATAATTTCTCTGAAAAAAATAACTTTTATCTCATCCTGTAAAAAAAACGAATACGTATTATTTATAATAAATATAAATAAATTTATAAAGAAATGAGAGAATATCTTTTTCTTTTAAAGATAGAGAAAATTATAATGGGGTACGTTCCTTTAGTCTACAAATTTTGCTACACTTTGTTTTCTTCTATTTTTGCCTTCCACATTATCTGAACACGAGTATAAAAAAAAAAGAAAAAAGGAAAAAAGGGAATGTCTTGCAATATTAATATTACCCGATCTTTATCCACGTCGAGTTCTTTCCTACTTACTAACAAACTTTCTTCTCTTCTTTTTCTACTTTTTCTTCTTCTCTCTCTATCTATCTATCTATCTATCTATCTATCTATCTCTTTCTATTTTCTAACTATACTCTTATCTTTTTCTATTCTGTCCGATTGTCTCTCTCTCTCTCTTTCTCTCTGTCTCTTAATTTTTTCTTGTTTCTCTCTCTTATATTTCTTTTTTTTTTTCTATTTCTTTCTCTATACAACACTCTCTTCTTCTTTTTCTATATAAAAACTTCTATTACCTGTCCTTTACTTACTATGTCTTGCTATGTCCCGGCTTTCTTTTGTTTCTAGATATTGCAGAACCTACAAAAAAAACGCACTGAGCGGAGGGGGCGCCTAAGTTCTGACAATATGAGTAAAAAGAAGTCCGGTTTCAGCAAAAGCGACCTTATTTTTAAGGTAACTCGCCCTAACAAATGCGCGAGCTCGAGTCCATTCGATTCGTTCGCGATTCGATTCGAACGAATCGACCTCAGATTAATTCCCGTACCCAGTTTCATGAGAGTCGATAGAACGAGATGTTGTTCGCTATTCTTTTATTTTATCAATTACGTATACGTTTATTACGTATCATACGTAACGTCGTACATGCAAACATGTATTCCATAATATACTTCGTGTTACGTATACAGATACTTACGCGAATGAACGCAATAAAAGATAAGCTAGTTAGAGCTTAACTATTATATTATTATTGCAATCGTTAAATTCGTTAATTCGTTCGCATCTCTCGAAACTTATTTCTCTTGTCTTTCGAATCGATCCGCGTTTACACGCAAATAAATAACCGATCTCTACTTCTACTTTCTTTTTCTTGATTTTTTTTATTTATTTATTTTTATTTTTAAACCCTTTCGTTACACGACACGCTTTATTATCGTTAGACCCCATGTATGGGTCGGTAATAACGAAAGGGTTAGTATGAATTATTTTTTCTCTCCCTTTCTTTCGAAAAAATCTCTTTTTCTTCTTCTTATTATTATTTTATTTTTGCTAAACGCGCAGCTATCGAGGAAAAGTACAAGAGAGAGATTGTCGCTAAATACGAGCCTGCTAATATAATATTATTGTATATATCGTATATCCTAGTAATAGATATACTTTGACCATCTATCGAAATCTACGCCAATCTTCGGTCTATCGATTCCTTGGAAATTAGGAACGTTGGTTACGGAGGCAATGGCGGAGCTGTACGCTGATTGGCTCGTTGGTTTATACTTACAAACATTCGCTTTTACTTTCCGCCGCATTATATACATTATTTACATATTACCCGCAGCAAATATAGGCCATGCTTTGTATACACTCACCATCGGCACCCGCCTAGCGATGACAAAGTTTACATACATTAAATATGTATTTAATTATACTTATATATATATATATATATATAATTAGACAACAATAGAACGATCTTTATGCGCGAGAAGATAAGCCAATTTGTTTTGGATTATTTTTTATTTTTCAAAGAACACCGACACCGATACCGACACACACAGACACAACGACGAAACGTCGACGATGACGACTGACACCAAATTTCAGACAAATCCGTGCTCCTAGATCAAAAATAAGAAATATGTGTGTAATTTTTTCGAAATTCGACAATGCTCGAATTCGATCCTACTTTTTGTACCCACCACCCAATGCCCCCCTCTCCCCATTTTTATTTTCTTTATCGATTTGTTTCATTCAGGTGGCCGTTGATCAACGAAATCTTCGATGTGATTGTCAAAATTCACGTGTCCCTTATAAACTCCTCCAGCCACCTGGCCAATTCAAATTTCTTTATCGTCAGCTTGAAAAACAACCCTCCATGACCTTTCTTTTCTCGTACGAGTCCGTCCTACGTAAACCATTTCAACCCATCAAAAGCACCTTCATTTGAGAACGCTTTTAATCGCTAGACGGTGTGCACGATCCTTAATAATGAGTGCACGTGATTGGGCGTCCCTTCTCTGTCGCTTTCTTGCAAATTCGCGCATATATACGATGCCTTTAACATTAAAAAAAACAAGCATACATACATACAAACATACACATACAAACACACATATATACATATTTGCGAGACGCATATCGTTATGGTTATGTTAGAGGAAAGAGAGAACCTAAATAAAATGTATATCGGAAAAGAATTGTTAAAGGAAATCTAAATTAGGGCGCAATGTTTGAAAGTAGAGAGCTTGCTACCCCTGCCGCTGCTCTGCGAACGATTCCTTACAACGCCCAAACCCCCCATTCTACTATTGCCAACACCCATATAAGAAATTCCCTTCCTTTTGACCTTTCTGCTGCTTTTTCAGCATAATAAAATCGCACTTACATAAGAATATATATATTATATAGTATATATATATATATATATATATATATATATATATCCTTATTGTAATACGGATGGCTGTCTCTCTCTCTCTCGCTGTATGCCTTGCAATTATTATAAAAATGATTGATGATAAACATGTGACGAAAAATAACGCCTTTCCTTCGCTTCAAAGCCTGGCTTTTCGCGCTTAATTGATTATCACATTTTGTTAAACGACTATTATTTCGAATTTTTGTTTACTTATCATCTTCCCTCTTTTATTTGTCTCTATTCTTTTCTCTCTCTCTCTCTCTCTCTCTCTCTATTTCTATCTCTCTATCTCTTTCTCTCTCTTTCTCTCTCTTTCTCTCTTTCTCACACACACACTCTTTCTCTCTCGTTTTTTACTTTGTTTTCTAATCGATCTTTTGTTTCTTTCCGTTTTCCCACATCCCTTCACTTATTTTTCTTTTTATTTACTTTTTCCTCATTTCTCTTTTTATTATTACCGTCAACCACATCTTTTCTTATTCGACCTCGCTCAACTCAATTTCCCCCCCCCCCCCGCCCCGTATACCGTTTTTAATCTTTTACTTTAAATTTATCTTTTTCCTTGTTGCTTAAAACCTTTTTCCGGGAGGGACGGCGCCGCGCGTGTTTTGTGCCCTAATCCCGCAGATGAATTTCTTTGTTGGTCGTCGTTCTCGTTGTAGATATTTTTTTTCTCTTCTTTTTTTTTGTTCTATCATTCATTTATTGCGTATCTCCTCTTACGTTCGTTTGTGTTATGTGTTGCCATATTTTACATGCCACAGCGTTATTATTATTATTATTATTATTATTTTTATTATTATTAGTATTATTATAAATTATTTTTATTATTATTATTATTATATATACAATATATACTGACCATCAGAACGATAATCGCTTCATTTGACGTATCATCATGGATTTGTTCCTTTTTTTTTTTGTGTTTCTAAACAGACGCTTTTACCTATACTGAACTTGTGATTGTCTAGTAGAAAAGAAGGTTGATGTTGAGTTATACTATACATATGTAATATATATATATATATATGTAATAATATATATATATATACGTATAGAGAGAGAAGACTTTTGAGTTTATATATAATATACACACATACACACATATATATGTATATGTAATTCGTGTGCGAGCATGCGTACGCGAATACGTACATGCATTTACTTATACGTAAAATTGTATTTTTTTTTTCTTCTTCTTCTTTTCCTCCACCATCGATAAAAAAAATACTATACCAATAGCAAGAATCTGGAGAATAGAAAAAAAAAACAGAGGAAAAATAATTCGAAGAGTATAAAAAGCGCGTACGTGTAACACGTACATATATATATACATGTACGTATATATATATATACATATATAGATGGTGACCGTGCGTAATTTTGTTGTTTTTTTTTTTTTAGATACATACTTACTTACTTACTTACATACATACAACGTATGGTATACGATATACATTTACAATACTTACGTTGTATTAATTAATGTGTTCACGTAGAAACAGGTAATGTATGGAAAGTATTTGTGATCTTAGCAGTTAAGTTTCTATCACCCTGTTTTTTACATACCACCCCCCCCCCGTTCCGTTACCCGTAGGCGCTAAAGACAATTTTATACGTTGACTATCAGCCATGGACGACTTACTATATTACCACCACGATACCCAATAAAACATTTAGCAAGTAATTGTAATCGTTTTTGTCGCATATTAGATTGTCAGACAGTACGCTTGTGATCCCGCTACGAGATCTGAACGCCGGTTCAGTATCTTTTTTTCTTTTTTTTCTTGTTTTTTTTTTTT